TATACGTCCGTGACTGAGAGTCTCTGAAGATTAAAGGACGCAGGTCAATAGGATATTGGTATTGGCCCTTGCCCATGCGTGAACCTAGTTCCAGAGAGAGTAACCGGTAGGGATGGGTAATGTCTGTGGTCGTGGTAATCGACAAGAAATAAAAGCTGTTATGAGCATCTTATTAAACACGTGTTGTGTGGATGTTTGAAACAAACTCCTACATTTTGTAAGACTAATGAAGTTCGAGCGTGTAAAACATAATCAGTCGCGTAGCCGGAGCGCTGCAAAGTCACAGAATGCACGGTATGGTGACAATAACCTTCATCTAAATCTCCCAGAACCTTTAGGCCTCGAAGTTTTTCCTGTTCTCTTCACGATGGCCACAAGTATGGTAAGTTAAGCATATTAATGTTAAGTATTGCGTCAAGTTGAGTATGCTTTCAAGACTGAATTTTTCCACTTATAAGCGATACATTCCCTTTACTTCAACAGCTGTGTCTGTCGCTCGAACTAAACATAATGGCTAATGAAATTCCATCAAAATGTCACGAAGTCAAGACGGCTGAACTTTTAGGAATTCTCGCTCTAAGCCCCATCATTATGTCGGCTATAATTGGAGAAGACAAATGTAGTCAACGCCCAACCTATAATGCAATATTTAAGGGGACCGTGGAGTGAACTGAGGAACACGTTTTGTGTAACTTTCTGACCGCTTAAAATGCAAAAAAATTATCTGAAATTTCTGAGGTGACTCTGAAAAATTCTTGTTCATAATATTCCTCACTCAGAGGCCACTCTGTTTTCTCATGAGCAAACTTAACAAAGTTAGAAAACCTGAGAGAAAATGATCAGCAAAGTCACACCCCTGTACATTTCCAATGGCCGACTCACACTTCTTGCCGCCAAGGTCATTTTCGGGCATGCGTCCATAATTATGAATTTATTAGTGAAGAGTTTCCATTGCATTAACAAATTCCATTAATTAACTGGGTCCAATAAGCAAGCCTTTGTCATTTTGCATTTTAAATTATCATTTCGCTCTATTTCTTTTCTTCTGTGAGACTTTTAGCTCATAGGAATACGAATACCGCTGGATTGGTCTAAAAACGTACAAGAATGAATTTGACCTAACCGCAGTCTCACTTTATCAAAGTTATTCTTTAAGTGCAGTGCAATTTTTCAGATACCTTATGGTATCTTTATAAAAGCCAAAACAATTCCCTTACTGCCAATCTTCATGCCGAGAGGTCAGGAAACTGCACCCATTACCTGCGGATTGCAAATGGCCTATCGACTGCTCAGGTTGGGCATGTTCGACTGAAATCGTCGCTGCCTTGCCCGATGATGATTCAAGACGTAGTCCAAGCCATCAAAACCTATGTATTTTGAGAATGTACTTAAGAGAGGTGCATTAGTCACGCACTCTTCTTGACCTATACCAAGCACTATTAACGGGAATCGATTTGGGGGGGGGGTCTAATTAGGGAAGGTTTCATTTAGAGAAAGTATTGCGTGCTTGTCTTCTAATGACTGGTGTAAATGTGCCCAACCTTGAAGACACCGCCGCATAGACTTGCAAGAATTGAGTATTTTGGTTTGGTGGTTAAAAATGTACTCACTCTCTCAGCTCGCCTGATAGCTGAAATTAGGACACGTCCCAAGGTTGTTCCTATTTTAAGCACCTGGTGTTATGTGCACTTTTTGCAAAGAAAAGAGTCATTAATCACTAATTAATTGCTGATTAATTTGGTAAGAGCCTTGGGTGCCTCTTTGTATGGAAGGTAGACTGGATGACAAGTCGTTCGAGAGTCATGAACCTTCTTATATTCTGAACTACCATTTTTGAAGCATTTCCTCGTGTTTGTATGAATAATAACGAAGCAAACGCTTTTACTTAAGTGCAATTGCTAAAAATGAGTAGGTTCTACAGAATTGGAGTATTTAATTGGCATTTTTCAAGACTGGGTCAGGGCAAGCTTGAAAACAAGGAGCATTTACTAATGTTCAAAATGGCAGCGTTCATGAATGTCATTCGACAGGAAGGCTGTATGCCTTTAGGAGGGAATCTCAAAAAACCAGATACAGGCACTTGTACCGATTTGAGAGCGGCAGAGCAATCTTCTTCATCAAAGTTTTTTGCGAGCAAAATTACTGCCATCGTGCTTATCCGCCATGGTGAGGTCTCAAGATACAGCGCTGTGCTGCACTGTGTGCGTCTCTACGTGCAGACAACGGAAGCCCTATTGTGCAAAACCACTCAGCCGTGCTGTCTGCCAATAGTGTAAAGCGTTTGCTTATACATGTAATATACTAGTAGATGCCGAATAGCAAAAGAAACATTTTAATTGATCATACAAATTCAAGCATCCGCTTATTCTTAATGGTTTTCCTTCTCAGTAAATACTTTTGCTGTTTGCTTGAACTTCGTAGCATTTGCTACTTGTTATTCATACGACCCAATAGCGAAGCACTATGCAAATGCCAGGATTCATCTATTATTCCATCTGGGCAAATTTGTAGATCTGGCAACATTTAACATCAATACACTCAGCTAGATCAATTGTGAAGAGGAAAAAACTGTTTTTTCTGTCAAACCTGTTGGCAAGTTGACGCATTGATCCTTGCCGTTGAGGGGGGCACCCTTAAAGCTTATCCCAGTATCTCAGTGGAGCGTTCTGCCCATAACTCTATCTTCTTGGACTTCATTTTGAAATGTTGGGTTTTATTATACAAAAAATGATCAATGACATACAATTAAATGAGTTTCGTCGAGTATACTGTATCCATTCCATAGTGGCAGACACAGTCATGCTGTACAAGGTCGCCTATCCACTCTGAAGTCTCAACCAAACAGGACGTTTGCACAGAATCCGCTTGCGATTCTGATAACTGAACTGTATTTATCAGTTACCGACTTTGCGCCAAGTCTTAGTGCAAGACGGCCCGCCTTCTGGGGAGCTCGTGGCAATTCAGGATAGCCCGGCATGATACCTTTACTTCGGCAACCATGGCAATGTTTAACGCAGTACCGTACGCGTTGAAATTCCCGCTGTGCCAGTCTGTGTAAAACGATAAAGGAAAACATGGCTCCAAGACAGTTGATACACGCACGGTCGGCACTCAAACTGTCCATTCCCCGGCCTTTTGTGGTTTTCTTGCTGATAAGAACTTCCATTCATGCATAACACAAACAGCAATGTCTTCAGAGTGAACAAGGGATTTAGCGTTATACCTGCCTTAGCACGAGCGCAGTCTCTGGTACCGAGTTGGAAAAAACGTTCAGAGGAAAAAAAACGGGTGGCCATTAACATATCCGGGCTATGGAGATCGAATGAAAAATTCATCTTATGGAGTGGATGAGGGGTTATTTGACGTTAACCTTGTAAGGCGAAATTGATGACCTACACCAGCCGAAATTCAATGCAAATGGCATACGTTTGCTGTAATTGCAGAGGACACCTCATGCTTTCCCGCCAACCGTGAAAAATGAAGATCCTGACGGCACTCCTAGCTTAGCAAATACAACCAGAAAAATAGTCGGGCCCCCACACGTGTACACCTTTTCTCTCTGACCTTCTTCGCCGCCAGTATTTGCCCCTTTCTACAGTATTTTACCTTGGTTTAACTTTCAACGCACTACAGATTTGATATCGGCATGCGTTTGATGCATATGGAAATCGGTAGCCACGCTGAGTTTTACCGAGGACATTACTCCCTAAATATTGTTGAATAGATTCCGCAACAGCAGGCCTATTAACGCATTATTCTGTTATTTCTGGGCCAGGTGGGTATACGATATGGACATACATAGTAGAAGTTATTTCTCCATAGCCTCCCGATGGAGGGGTCACCACCACCAAAGCAATATTACGAGTATTTCGCCCTTTGCTGGTAATGGTCCATAGATGGAACGAACCGTCCACACGTTTGACATCCATCGGCCAAATGTGGTGTTCAGCTTCCATCAAACGTCTCAAAGATCGCTGTCACGGAAGGTATTACCAAAAGATGTCTCGCAGGAAGAGGGGTAGGTACAGTTCGTCGCTGACTATACAGCCTACACTGTCACCTGAAGAGTGATGTAAACCAGGGCGAGTATATTGTGCCCTTCAAAGCAGTGCACTTTTGAAAGCTGTACTGCGCTCAACAGTCAACGTACTATTATCGTGTTTACAACATGAGGCAACTCAATTTGTTCGGAATGTTGCTCGCTGGGTTATACCAAAGGTCACTGTCCGACATATGCAGCGTGCCACCAACATTAACCATGATTAAGCTGATGCTCACATTACGATATCTCTTTGTAATATAACATCTCTGCTTCAACGTATGTGAACTTTAAATTTTAGACCTTATTAAGGGCCGCATGGTAATTATTCTGCATCAGTCTGACCGTGAACGAAAAGCACACTTGATAAAGCTTCAACAATACACATTTAAGTGCGGACAATTTTTAAGGGTCGATGGGTAATATTTGAGATGTTCTGAGGAGATGTTTTTATTACATGTATCAACCTAATTTGTTTTCTCTTCTGTGACGTCGGTTGTTTATTTCTGGTATAATATAGTCCATGAACCTGTGGCAGCCAATATGTATGCATAAGAGGTATAATTTTTCCTGTACATTTTCACAGTGCTTCATTGGCAGCACTGGCGCCAGTAGCTCACCGTCAATGGTTTACAGTAATTTTTAACGGTAAATCGCCGTCATTTATTAGACAGCAATTATCGTAAAATTAACAGTAACTTATCTCAATTAATTACATTAATTTCATGTAGACGTTAGACACAGCAAGTTACTGTTTGCATTGATTACGGGCTCATTCTAAATGTGTATTTAAGTGTAAGTGATAAGGGATTCTCAAATTCATCTTAATTTTAAGGCCAACTGGTATAAATTATTATGTATATGATACACAAACCTTGTATTTGAAGCCTTGATGGCGGCAGAACTCCATTTACATTCATAACGCGCACTGACGTGGTATCTGTGTGCATTGTCTAGCTCCCAAGTGCAAACATGGTTGAAACATGAACAGGTAAGACTTTCATCTTTCACGTTCGATTTATCGTTTCAGGCAATGGTTTGCATTTACGTGTAAAACTACATTCAAAAAGCACAAACATTTGTCAAACTAATGTCAAATACTTGCCGGTAAAAAATGGAAAACCACAAAATTACTTGGCAGAAGCAGCAACGCCCCATTTGTGTCAATATGCAAATTGAGGTCAAAGCTTGTACAGTAAATCATTACTATTAAATATACAGTATTATACTGCATTCACAAAAGCACAAAAGATGCGTGTAACAAACACGTTTGTTTCCTGCAAACTTTGTTTACAGTAGCTTAATGTTGCAAAAAATACAGTACAAATATACTACTCATTTAACGTTGTACCTTTACAGTGATATCCATTCCGTTGGTTTGGGTTGGTTTATTTCATTGTAATGAAATATCTTTCTGGTAAATAAACAACCCATCACCCTGCGCCTGTTCCAGATCTATTGTTGGTACATACATGTACAATTTAATTAACATGCATGGCTTCTCAACAATCTGACCACAGATTAACAATCTGACAGTGCCTTTAAGTCCTCCTAACCTACCTCAAATGACGCTCTGCTGTCTGCTTCCTAAGCCACTTTTTTAAATGACCGGTATTCATCCATACAAGCTCTTTTGGATGTAATAAGTGGGGTTTGGTAACAAGCAAAATTCACAGGTAGCTTACCTGATCGATGCTGCCACTGTCAGCAATAAAACAATGCACGGTTGCACGCCGCAGCTCCTTGTAGGCCTAAACCTCCAGCTTTTCGTTGTCATCTTGACGCATCGACCTCCAGTCTACTGATCGAAGGAGACTACGGATTGTGAGGCGAATCAAGTCTCCGTGTGCTGTCCTCGAGCCTCGATGCCAACCACCGGTGTGCCGTTTTGTCGGCGTGTATTATTCCAAGGTCCTCACATACTGCTGTGTGTCACTGCAAAAGAGAAGCGCGCCAGCGGTGTAGTGACTTATTTCGCTTTGTGTAGCCTACTCTCAAGTGCATTGCATGGTCGTGCTTTTTCACAGGGGTGGATATTTTTGCCCCTGTATGGGCGGAGGTGCGTGTCGCCTTCTCCAAATTTTGAGAGACACTGGATTGAAAAAAAATTAATTTTAAGTAAACTTTTCAGAAATTTATATAATTGGAATACCCTCTTCTGTCTGCAACATCGCGCACTTTCGTGAAAAAGGACAGCTTTTCGTTGAGTTGATTGACGCTGGTTAAGTTCAAGTCCCAGAAGGTAGCATGCAATGCGTGGGCTCCTGCACATTTCAGGAGAAAAATCCTAGTCGATGTCCTATATCGTTGAAAACTCTGAATGTGCACTATGTTCGTTTTTTAAACTGAAATTTTGAAAAACTTCTGTGCACACTAGCCGTAGGCTCACTGAGCCGACTATTGAGCTGGCGACAGTTCATATGACAGCGAGTAATTATCAGCGGTACACAGGGGAGATTGGCGTGTTTGAACTGCCGCGAACAGGTGCAATATTCTATCGTGTGTTGATTACAGAGCAGTGACGAGGAGAAACCTAGTACTATTACACACTGCGTGGGTGCTTATTCTGTTCAGTCGATAAGCCGATGGTGTCATCTTACCTTGAGCTCATCTGCGGTGTGAAAGAGACATGCAGCCTTAATTGCCAATTTATCGCGGCACAAAAGTTCAAGTTTTAAAAGCAGACTTGAAAGTAAAGGTCGGAGGCCTGAGGTTTGCAGGAGACCAGTCGGCGTCGACTCCACCATTTTGGGGGTGCCCCGACTGGTGGTATAATCCAGACAAAAGGGCGGGGCCTTCTCGTGTCTCAGCGGGGGGAGGGGGGCTGCCGTCAAAGTGTTCAGATCATCACTCTAAAGGAAGGGTAAAAAGAAACGGTATCCCGAAGAGGCAAAATTCTCTCCTAGGGAAGGGAGAGAAGCGAGTATTGTCAACGATAAACTGGCAAACCAACAAAACCGGGAAGGCGATCACTTCCGAGGTATTTTCAAGCAAGTAGACGATTTTCATCCCCCTCCTCCTTTAATTTTGCTTTTCCTTTTCGTTTCATTCTTTTTCAGATCTTTTTAATTTTCCCCGTTTTTTTCAGGGGGTGCAAGCGCCCTTGCTCGTCTCCCACACGACGCCCATGATCCCATATTGGAAAAGGCGCGTAATAGATATACTCCACCACATACACAATACAATGATCCTGCGATCGTCTCTCTGCCATTTTTATTGTTAAGGACTGAATTCGTTTCTTTTAGCTGTCTGTGCAACAGCAATTCACCAAGCAATACAAGTCCGGATGTCAAATGTTTGCCGGATGTGGTTGTGCATTGTCACGAGGGGTTCGCATGAAAGATTTTCCTCTTTACTTAACGATGTTGCCATTATCATCATTATCAAACATGAATTGATCACAGAGACATCATAATGAGATGCTTTATTGCCTTTTCCTGTCCCCTGCAATTTCACTTTAAATTACCCCATACACATTTTGCACCCCCACTTGATCGTGTATGTTTAAATATTAAACGACTGTGACTTATCGTTCTGTACGGAAGTACGGAAGCGTATTGCTTCCATCATGAAGAAAAATATTTTATCTCTTTTAAACGGCTTGTAATCTCGTTCATTCCTCCATGTTTAAACAAATAAGTATCTCATTTAAACAACATATATGTAGATATAAATATATTTTTTTCGCGTTGGCAGCAATACGCTTCCGTAATTCTGCGAGCATGGTATCCAAATTACGAGGCACTGTAAAATCAAGGAAATTAAACCCGTCTCCCCAAAGATGTGTGTAAATTATATTGAATTTGCACGATTCGGGAGTGATGAGGCTTACACCGCAGAAGTGTTAAAATTAACACTACTGATATTATTACCAGGCTTATGCATTTATAAATATGTACATGGATGAAATACAATGATGTGTTGCAAGTATCACCGATTTATAATTGGACTACTTAGCTTAGATACAAGAAAACAATACGGAGGGCAGACCCACTTGATTGAAGCACCTTAATAACTTATTCAGTGAAGGACCGTGACTGAAATTTCGGAACTTGTAGAGCCCCCAGAGGGGTAGCTATGCCTACTTGATGTAGGTTTAGTCTAGCTTGCAGACCGACAGATTCGGACTGTTTCGTATAATTCTTAGGTCCTTTTGCACGGTCACGTGACGAAACGCGGGGTAGTTGTCTGAAATATGTGGACCCCATTTCGTTGATTTTCGGTCGTTATCGTTTGCGTGTATAATGTATAAATGACCATTCTTTCTGATTTACCTTCATGCAGTTTTTTCTTTCGATGAATGTAAATGCTAACTTGCGATTTTGCATAACGTTCGATGGCGTTGATCTTTCACAAAGTAAGGGACAAACGTGGTGCGGACCTCAAAATAGATGTACAGGCATCCCAACTTAACATCATAATATTTTGACTGCAGTGGACGGCGAGACCCACAACTTTGTCTCGTTAGTGGTAATTTTATTGCCCCAAATTCAATCACCTTGAACATTACAGAGTGGCTTGTACATTAGTGCCTTGCTATTTATAGTTACTCGAAGGACGGCTATGCAATTTTTCCAAAGATGCTGCCTCAGGCTTACAACCACGGATGCGTATTATGGCTCTAGTTGGAATACAGTTATATGCTTACATTTTGTACCGAAAGTATCATACAGGTTATGCGATTCATGCGATAATTTTTTTTTATTATACACATTTTTACACTCTTCTCGTGCGTGTGAAAACCATGCTTTTAGGGTTACGTGTATGGAAATTTCACTTTTTATGAAACAATTGAGCTTATCTGGGAACGAGGGCTCATTCTGCTAAGGTGATGGGGAAGAGACTGTCTTCAGTTCTACTTGCGAACTTAAAAAATGAGCTTATTGCAAACATTACTGAGAAAGCCTTACACATCAGCTCGTTGCTATGTACCCACAGAACAATACAACAATAAAAAATCAACAAATTTTGGACATCAAATACTATTGCGCCCCGCTCCGATATATTCATTTACGTACTGTAGCATTTGAGATTCAGTTCCACGCCTGTCGCTTCCTGTGCAGCGTGGTGTTTGTAATTCTGGTGCGTATTTACTTGGCATGCACGTGCAAGGCCGGATCGAGGGCGTATTGTATCACGTCGCTGCAAGTTGTCACCTCAAAGACACCTCAAAGGCTGGGTCATGATGTACTCAAATAAATCGGCGTTCACTTGCGAGCCGATACCAGCTTTGGTTTGAAGGAGTCATCAAACAAAATTTTATGACTTGAGTACATGTATAGGAAAGCTTTCTTGCAACTATGATGCTCTTCTTTGTAGCCGTAAAAAAGGAGAAACTTCAACATTTTGGTTTATGTGTTATGTAAATTGTATATTCATGAGCTAAAGCGTATGTCACCAGGACAGAACAGTCATGGCTCTTTGCGTATATCACACTGTTCTACATTTTTTTAAGTAAGTTTCACTTTTTGCTCGCATCTTGTTGGCGGGGGGGGTGGTAATTATGGTAATTTTTTGCATATATGCTATTTGGAAAGTAGTGCCTTGTGTGAAAAGAGAAAAATAGTGCCCTCTAAAATGTGTTTGTGAAAAATTTTGTAAGAATGGAAAAAAAACACCATTTTCTCGTCACTTTTACTAAAAAAGAATCATTTTGATCTCCTTTATATTGTTGTGACAAATAATGAAGTTGAGCCAAATGTTCACTGCTTGTTTCCTCAGGCCTTTGATCTTTTTTTTTGGAAACAAATCTAATATCTAGCTTTCTACTTTCCGCTTCAATGTATGAAAATTATTTGACATAATTATCTGAAATGTGTTGTAAAGGTGCATTTTAAACATTTAAATTACCCATGCTTTTCCTGACAAATATAAGGCGCTGTTGCCGTGATATCATTCCGGGAAGACGTTGTTCGTTACCGGGGTCTTGCTTAAATTTGGGACCCCAAAATTTGAGCAAAGAAAATGTGTTGGGAATACTTTGATTACTGGCCTACTGTCATGAAAGGAAAGACAACGAATCAAAAAAAGGCCGTCATCTTCAAGCAAAATATCCAAAATTCTGGCAATAATGGTGCTGAAATGTGGCCTTGAGTTTTCGCCCATGAATTTTTAAATTTAGATCAGCATGAAAACTAAAAAAGGCTTCAAAATACGTGCACCCTTAAAGATAACAAAACAAAAAGTTGGAAATATTGTGAAGAAGGACTCAAAGATGTATTTGCAAGGATTGCATTTTAAATATTAGCCTACGTTATGCGAATGGACCCTTTATTTCGACACGAGCGTGTCGTGAATCACACTCTGTCGCAGTTACATTCGTGCGAACCAAGGTTCAGAGCATTCATACAGTGTCAAGCTATTAGCAATCAACGCGACGGAACCCTTGATAAAAAAAACGCGGGAGATAAGATGCCCCGCTACGTATAGTGACATGAATCATACATCAGAGAGTGGATGCGCACCAATGGAGGATGACCGCTTATGGTGGTCGCATGCGGGTTTTAACCTCGGGCTGTATCTCGTATTACGGCTAGGTCGACGTGCAAATTGCAACCAAAACTAATCAGGGAGATAATGTTATAGATCTGTCCCAGCCATTATCTTAAAAGCAGGTCGTTTGTGCTCTCTGACGGACCCACATTAATCAGGACATGCAATCAACACACGCAGTATCTGTGAATCACTATTTACAAAAGTTGGTCCAGGGGTAGAGAAAATTTTACGAAATCACGGGGAAACGGCACATTTACGTAATAATGGTATTTTTTTGTGGCAAAGGTAAACTTGCTTTGAACTCCATTATCTACGTCGTCTGCAGTCTGCAGCCACGAACCTACTTGAAAGGTTTCAAGTGCCAGATTGATCTATTTTACAAACTAATCAGCTCACAAGCTCTAAGGGCACAAACTTTCAGGAAGAAGTCATTAGCGACGTGGCTATACACAGGCTGGTGTGTTACAGATAGGGTAATTTCTTTTCGTAGGAAGGTTAAAGGTAATTATGATATCAAGACCCCTTTATAGGCCTACGCATGCGTGTTACTCAGAGAGATCAGCATTCCTGATGCGATTGGTGATACGGACGTCGTTGAAGCTGCCAGTAATAGGCGGATTTTTGCAGTGCCGAAAGTTTGTGAACGAAGAAAACGTTACATACGGAAGACTAGCACTGCTATGATCTTTGATATTTTTGTCGAAAACATCGGTGCACCAGATTCTATTAATTCCCAAGGGTTACGGCAGTGATTAGTATAAACAAACTCTTGCAGATGGTGTTCATGTCCCATGTTATCCCCGAGGAAAGCGTGAATTATGACTCAATATCTTTCACAATTCTCTGCCGCCGGCGGAATATACAGGCTCACTGGCGATTTAGCATGACCAAATCTGACGGCATTGTATCAAAGAAAGGTTTTTATCCCAAAACTGACCCCATGCTTTGTAAACAATTTCTTATTTGAAACATAATTTTTGGGCTCGCTTTGTATTGATTTTAAATTGCCTATGCTCGCTTTTATTTTACTTCTATGTAACTGAATGTAAGCCCGAAACACGGGCGATCCTCAATAGCGCGCATCCAAGAGTTTGCAACGCGTTGACCAATCACAACGCGCTTAATCTGTCGACTCAATGCGTGTTTCGAAAGGGTCTACAGATTTCGCGAACTGTGATTGCAAACTCTTGAAGGCGCACGTATTGGAATTATTACTTTCCGTCATGCAAGCTCCCTGTCAGTATAGTTATGGTAAAATGAAAAAGGACTATTCTCCATAATTGTTAAGTTCATACACTTCATGCCCTGTCAACTTGATACGTTTTTTTTTGGGGGGGGTGATCAGAAATGTCTCTATATGAAAGGTAATCGTGACCAGTAAAATGTAAAAGACAGTCCCCTCCTGACATGCCTGTGGACCGGAGTTAGTCTTGCCAAATGTTCTGCACACTGCGGCACCACAAAGCAGCATATCCTCCTCGCGTTTCAGTTCTTGTGAAAAAAATCCCTATTCTAAAATTCTATTTTAAAAAAATTGCCAAAGATTTTGGCTTTCCCTTCTTTTTTTGGTTGAATTTGGTTCTGCAAACAATATTGTTACAGAGAAACCTGCGGAGAATACCCACATACAGCGACAAAAACCGGACAAGCACCTGCTGAACGCTAGTACCCTGGCCTTTACTGAATTGTCAATTAGCTTTCCTCGGTGATTACATGGGACACGAACATCATATGCGAGAGTTTGTTCCGTAGCCTTTGGGCAGTAATCAAATGTGGTGCGCTGAAATTATCAAAGATCATCGAGGCAGTCTTCCACAGTTCAGCGTTTTGTTCACAAACCCTCGGCACGGTGAAAAAGCTACAATTTATTCTGGTAGCTTCAACGACATCCTTATGACGAATGCTGACCTCTCTGAGTAACACGCATGCGCAGGGGTCATCAATGTTATAATCACCCCTAACTCTCCTGAGAAACAATTACGCTTGTGGATAAAATCCCCAAGAGAACAAGAATTAATACCAGCGACACGTACCTCAGTTTTACGTAAAGCCCGGTTGCTGTGTGATAGCTCAGTCATGAGGTCACCCATTTTAACGAAGAGCCATAAAACTTACTATGCTAATGTTGAAATGTTTTTATGCACAGAATTTTAATTTGTGTGACTTTTCAACAGAAGACGGAAAGTAGAAATTAAAAGAGCCTATTTCTGAAATTTCAAAGTAATCTTGCCTTGCATGCCATTGGTGCATTTTTATGCATAATGACTTTTTATTTATGACAAAATAAAAATGAAAATAGGGGGATCTAGGTTTTGAAGTGGAGAACAATTTGGGCATATAAAGTTATTAGTAGCCCCCTCAATACATGACGACATAGATAGTTTGATGGTAGATGTCCATGAAACTTGAGAACCCTTGGACAGTGCACAACAGACGCCAGAGCCGATTGGTATTCACTGCAATATGGACAACCGTCCATTCCTCCTATAGCGTATGTGACAGCGCCAGCAGCGAGTGCGGCTCAGCTAAGTGGGGAGGTGCCACTTCCTATATACACAGCCTTACCTGCGGCAGTTCGCCCTTGATTCCCACTCCTGCATTATTCAAAATCCTACACACTGAAAATAGGATGCACAGCGTACGTCAGTTGGAGTCGTTCCCAGGGATGATGCACTGATTAAAGCTTGATTGAAGTCGAATCGTGATTTAAAAAAGGAGATAATTCACTTGGAGGTAGACTCAGAGTCTTGGTAATTCTTTTGAAAGCTGGTGATGGGGTCGTGCCTGTTTTGTACATAAATCAGTCTTTCAGTCCGTAGCTGAAAAATGTTTAATGATTCTACCTGTTGAATGATTGTCATTACTCATTTGATTAAAACAAAGCAGGGGTACACTTAGGCCCCTTCTCTTTAATATTTATTTGACTGGTATGAAACCCTGAAGGGATTTATGATTTGTGTTGTTTATATTAATTCGTTTTCTTTTAACGTGTACAGCTAATTCCTGCCAACGAATTACGAAGACGTTACAAACGGACAAAATACGTCATCCCTTCCTAAATAGACTAGTAAAACAAAGTAGGACGATGGTAATTAGAAGTATGCTGCTTACAGCCACTTTCATCTAATCAATGATTAATGATACACGCGTATATGTCAGGCCTAAATGTTCTTAACAAAAAAGTCCTTTACACTATATGAATGTTTACTTTGTATTACTACAGAAACAAATTTGTAATAAGCTGTTGTACGGTATTTCTAATTTTGAAGGGAATTTTGCCAGTAGCTCGAATTTATAGGGTATCATGTGAAATACGGGCGTTTCGCAAGAGTTTGCAACGTGTTGGCCAATCACATCGCGCGAAATCTGTAGACCCAGTGCGCGTTTGGAAAGTGTTGACAAATTGTGCGCGTTGTGATTGGCCAACGCGTCGCAAACTCTTGGAGGCGCACTATTGTGAATCGCCCTTATTCTTTACCCAAGACTTTATCAAATACTTTTCCTTCTTTTTGATCATGGTAATGACATCAAGGAATCTGTATCATGAAAGATGCATAAAATACAAGGCAAAGCAATAATACAATGAAAGCTCAAAAGGGTGGATAAGCCTGAGGAGACGATGGCAATTCAATGCTGAATGCATTGCAATTAACAATGAAATGGGTACGTTGAAAGTAGCTAAGCATTTCGCAAAATGAAGTCTGGCCTTTACTTAACACCTAACAATGCACAGTTTATTCATCATGATATATACCGCAACCTATAGGTTCTTGTCGGTGCGTGAGCCTGAAAGCAAATTATACGTGTGCATGGTCAGGACGTCTTTTCTTCAGATCCGTTGCGTCCTGAACAGCTCTATCGGGTTCATAAGTGTGACGTCACTTCAGTTTAAACCACGCCCACTGCACATGCACTGCACATATGCGTTGATCACCGTTTACATCGACACCATGGAACCGGGAGTTAACGCGCAACTTCAGCGATCATGAAGCCTGCAAATCTTGGCGCGTCCGCCTTTCTGACGAAGTCCCTTACGAACCGGATAGACCTTTCACTTATAAATCACAATTATGCACACATGCGCACAAATGGCCTTGGTGGCAAGGGCCATTGAAAATGTACGGGGTGCGATTTTGATCATTTTTTCTCAGGTATTCTGACTTTGTTCTGTTTTTCTTCAGAAATCCCATTAAATCGTTTTACTATTAGTTTCTTGTCGAAGCGGGATTTTTAGTGCTCTGTATAAAAGACTTTACAATCGTGATTTTTCCTTTGCGCCACAGAATAAACAGTAAAATCCTGCTTAGATTACTTTTACTGTTCTCCTAGCCTCACTTTGCTTGAGAGATAATCTGTTTCGCTGTCGATGCGATAGTGAAATTTTATTAGGCTTACCTTTTTAAATTTTCACCTTTTAAAACAATGCTTCCATTCCCAGCCATTCTTAGCAGGTTACAGAAATTCGTTATCTTGACTTTTAAACTTTTACTGTTGCGATATTCATTCAGATGTCAAATGCCTGTCCGGGCTATCAGTGGCAGTTGTTGACCTTCTGTTGAATGCCCGTACGGGCTATCGGTGCCAGGTGTCGACCTTCTGGATTGCATAGCATTCTAGTACAGGTACGCGAACCAGTATATCGCATTGAAGAGCATGAAGAGGATAATGAACGCGTATCGTGAGATTTTGTCCAATATATAGGCAAGTCTCAAAGAATAATCGACCCCGGAATCCGAATTCTCCTCGGTTGTAGTTTCCTCTCCGTCTGGGGATTTTTTTCTGCTCTTCTGGCGCCTGCGTTCCTTCTTGTATTGCAGCTGTCTGTAATACTTTGAGAGAAAACAGAACGGGAATCAATCGCGCTCCCCGTCGGCGTGATCCAGAAGCTATTTTTTTCTCGAGGATTATGACGAGGCAAAGTCAAACGTGATCCTTTTTTGAATGGAATGAAGACAGTGTTTTAACTATTTAACTACACGCTTCATGGCCAGGAATGTCGCTTTTTTTCAAATGGCCTTTCCATATCATTTACAATCCCTTTGTGAATTGAATATTTTACCCGCTTTTATTCTGAAGTAACAAAGGAAAGAACATTGGCACATTTTCCATGGCATTTGGAATGTCTTAGAAGTGAAAAAAAATGTTTCATTTTAGTGCAAGATCTGGCATCTCAGTAATTAAAGGACACCACAGAGATCATTTCGTTTGAAGGATTTACCTCGTTCATCATGGATGCATTGACCACTGTGTATTCAACAAACGCTAGGAAGACAAATATCTGGCAGACGATTAGCCAAATATCCAAAGCCTGTTGAAAAAAAATCAAGGGTATCATCTTTTCATGACCTCGGTGGGTCTATTGTCATGTAGTATTTGCGCTTGGACTTTCAAACTTGAAATAAGGTCACTTTCAACAAATCCTGCATGATGGGTGGTTATCCTTGTTCAAAATCGGTGTATCATGGCTCTTCGTGTCAAGGGTGCGTCTTTAAGCAGTCCAAATTTCTAATGACGCAGGATCAATGTGAGAAATGCTAATTACTCACAAAAATGGTTTTATCCGAAATATTCTTTTACATGAACATCCCGGATAAACCACTGTCCAGACCGAGTGTTTCTGTATTATAGCCACCTTGCTCCCCCCTGCCCCATTGGTTATGACTCACTTTAACCCCACTGTTGCCTGGCATCGACTCCGTTTGTCCCTTGGACAACGTGTTCAAGGTCAGGTTGACGGTCACTCCCAAGGAGACGCGAGCCGGCGTAGACCGTGGATCGATCCAGAAGGAAAGCCAGGCAATGATGACTAGCAGAAAGCTGGGCATGTATACCGTCAGAGCGTAGGTCTCCAGTCGACGCTGTAGCTTGATAGTCGCTTGTGCGCCGCTATGAATCGCTGAACGATGAAGAAAAAAGGCCTATAGAATCGCCACCACACATAGCTCGCTATTCAACTCCTGATTTGAGACGTCGTATATCCTTCATACCTAAACTTTGTGTGTAAAATGTAAGTTTCAATTATAACAAGAAAATCGAATACCTGGTCCGTATCCAATATCCAACATTTCCGTTTCTTGGCCAACAATCCTGAACCTAGACAAGTCCGAACTCTTAGGCAAAATAAAGCCTTCATCAGTGATGTGCAAGACGAGGTCTTTCGAACAGTACCTATCTAAAATTTAAAAAAAAGAAAATATGAATGTAACATGCAAAGAAATCCATTTTAATGGAAGGTGGGTCTTTCTTTCTGCATGGTCTCATTCCTTTTCTGTCACTCATTCCTTTGTTTACTCTGTGGCTTCATCTAAGAGTTTCTGCAGATGTTGATCCGAATCACTTCCGTGGCTCAAACTTCCCATCTGAAGAACTGGAAAGCTTGGTATGTTTGAAGCGGATAGTGCCATGTGGTTTCAAGACGCACCGATTGGTCGCTAATCAGATCGTCCCGTTATGTTTGGGGCAGTGATACTATTGGCTTATTATGCACAGGTGTCGTGGTGATCGTGTTTTTCTCGGAGAAGTTACAAAAATGGAAATTATCAACTTACAGCTCAGCATACTTATGTTACAACTTTGTTCGTCCATGGGAAACCGTGACAGGTCCATAGGACATGCGAACGTCAAGCTTTCTCTGTGGTAGTAAAGCAAATAAGGTTTTGAACTGACCCGTTTATTTTCTCTATACGTCTTTCTTTCATGCCCTGGCGGATTTGGAGACAAAACTATTCCCCCGCCCCCCAAAAAAGTTGTGATATTTGAAAATAGCACGACTATTTCCATCCTCCTCGTGTAGAGTTTATATAATTGGCAATGCCGTAATCCATATAATTTGTCAATTTTTGTCCGCAGAATAATCTTCGCCGCTAAATATGGTTATTACCATTTTTAACACTCTTACAAACATTGCACTGTATCACGATTCATTGCAACCTCACTATCACGTTGTAAAAGAAAAGTGTTGATTCTCAATATTTTGGTGTCAATAACTCTTAAAAAGCAAAGCATAACCCACCCAAACCCCGCCCACCTTCAGTATTTAAACAATGCTTACAAGCTAACAGCAAGAAACGGTGTTTAGAAGCGTATGTTTAGTTGCTAAGCATAGTTGTTGCCGTGAAGTGTTGGTGTTGGATACGCAATTGAACATTACAACAATACCATAATTAGAGTACCTCTAAGGAAAACGTGTTTTCTCTGATTTTATGAGGGCGAGGGTTCCCCTCGTTTCTCTGTTTTCTCCTCAATGACGCAATCTACATTCAGAATTCGCATCTTGGTATGAACAGAAAAAAACCTTTTCAACTTGTTATAGTTGAGCTCTGAAGACAAATGACACTGCGTTCGGTTTGGATGCTTCCATATTTATTTGAACAGATAGAATCAGAGAAAACATGTTTTCCTTAGAGGTGCCCTTTAAACTGTATGTTCAAACCTCGGATAGACCAAAAGGTTTACGTCAGCAAATTGTCACGTTAGCCCCCTTAAAGGTTTTTCCCCCACCACTTGTTCTGGGTCCACCCAGCTTTAAGCTGTGGCTGGTAGTACTTTAAATTACACATCCTTATTCACGTCACAGAAGTTAAAGGAATTATGTACCTATGCTATAAACTTCAGCAACTGCATTGAAGTCAAATAATGATGAATTCAGCAGCTATAACATGGTTCCTGAGACTATATTTGAGATTAACGTACTATGTGATATTGTCCTTACAGGTAGTAAATTTAGAGCTAACCCACGTATACAACAGCCTACCGTAAAGTCAGTTCCACTGTGCCGTCTTGGTGGAGAACGAGCTTCATATTGGGCGTAGTCATGTCGTGCGGTTTGGCGTGGACCTCAAAGGGAAAAAACAAGTCTGGTACCCAAATCCTGTAGCCATCTAAGCCGGATAGGTGGATGGGGTGTTTGGCAGTGAAATTCAACCGTTCGTCTGTCCAAGTTTCGATCAGAAAGAGTGTGAGGGAAATATCCTGCCGGATGTCGAGTTGGCGATACAGAGATACGAGAGGGTGAAAAAGAGGAGAGACAGTGGGATGAACATCGTTTTTAAATCCCAGGCCAAAGTCACAACCTTTTCATTATGCACTACAGCCCAGAGAGAAGCCACTGGTTTCACTAACCCCGCGTTCATTTCCAATGGTCGTACTCGAGAATTGAGAAGTTCGTTTATAATATCAGGATTACACTGAGGGGTTGGGATTGCTATACGGATTGTCTTTATCAAACCAATACCAAACTAAAAGTTCTCACCATTGCACTTTCGCTGACAGTACCGATGTGTTCGACACCAACCTGAAGTGACACGACAACAGGTGGTCCTATAGGTCGAAGACAGGAACAATTGACAAATTAGTGCATGATTGTCGCTATAAATAGTTTATACATGGACTAATGTGTAATAATCATTAGTAGATTGATATCCTATTGTTGTCTCTCAAGAAAACAAACGGGTGTAACAGTCATTTTTTAACATTGTTATCAGCAAAGTATTATTTGTTGAATAAGGATTTACTGAAATTTTAAATGGAGCCGATGGTAAGTTCGTTTTTAATGGGAACTTGAAAAGGTTCATCATTGAAGTCCCCAGTTTTCATATGTTTACACATAGCGTGTAGCTTGGTGGCAAGTTGTTATCATAAGGTCAGTGGCGGTGTATTATGGTCATGTTTATTATCTGCGATATGCTGACAACTCCATTTAACGGTTATCATCGCCGCACCCCCCCACACACCCACACATCCACATACGTACACCAGTTTCAGTTTTTATGTTGGGGGCGTCTATTAAGTAGGTACGCACGAAGGGGAGGGGAGTTGGTGCCGTTGCGTACACCATGCGTACAGTGGGGGAGGGGGGTAGGTGCTGTTGCGTACACCTTGCGTACAGTGGGAGAGGGGGTCGGTGCCGTTGCGTACACCATGCGTACAAAGGGGAGGGGGTTCAAGCCAGTGGGTATCGTGCGCAAACCAAAAATTTGCCTTTAATGAATCATCATATCAATACACTTTATCACTGTAACCAGTTGCCTGTAGCAAGTCTATGGTGTACTAGCATTGTATCACTTAATCGAGAACTTACAACAACTGTTACTATTCAGCAATACAATGCATTCCTTTAATTGTACTGCGTACACTCAAGTGTGAATAGAGTACAAGATGCCCTAGAAAGGAATGGGCAGTGTGATTCCTTCTGTCGTCTCTGCTCACTGCATCAGCCTGTATTATTTGGGCTGCTATGTGGTCTCAACTGGAGTGTGGCCCGAGTACATGTCACCAATAGTCAATGGAAAACCGGTGCAGTACTGGTGGAATGACCAACCCTCGGTGGATGCCTGATTAAGGTATAAAAATTACTCATGTGTGTAAATGTATCAATTATTGGAAGACAGTTCATGTAAATTAAATTGCTGAAATGGTCAACTGCATTACTGGAAATGATACAACATGACTTGTTTTACTCTTTCATAGATTACACCATGACTCCCTCAAATTTAGGGTTTCATCTCCTAGGCACTTCCAGTTTGGGAGTTTCATTATGCAGTCTCTAGTTTAATTTGTTCTAGTCTTAAGTTTTAACCCTTGGATACTTAATTTTATATTGATGTAAAGTGAGACTTGTCTTTATTGTTTTAATGGAATTGTCGCTCGAGTTTGACCAACACATCAACAAAGACGGTCCAATTTAGTGGGATTCACAAGTGGTTTGTTTTATTTTAACCAGGATACGTTTTTACCTGGTGGCCAGAGTCTTCTTCCCTATTTAAGTATTAAGTTGCGCTCTGGTTGAATCATACAATTAAATAAGAGAATCAGTTTTTGTGCGTCGAAGAACCATTCAAACACCGTCCATCCCACCATTGATCCTCCCGTGCCAACACCCATTAAAGTAAAATACAACAAAACTCATGACACAAAGACCGACAGCGTCTTCCGGACTTGTGGAATGTGTATGCGTACAGAGGGGAAGGGGGTTGGAGCCACTGCGTACGGCATGCGTACAGGGTAGGGGGGTCTGAAAAGTCGGCATTTCGTGCATACGTTGGACGGTCCCTTAAGTCTTGGGTCCACGACACCTCTCGCAGTGCTGCAATCCGCGTGTTGTATATGCAATACGGGCGATTCACAATAGTGCGCCTCCAAGAGTTTGCAACGCGTTGACCAGTCACAATGCGCGAAGTCTGTCGACCCTTTCCGAACGCGCATTGGGTCGACGGATTTCTCGTACGGTGATTGGTCAACGCATTGCAAACTCTTGGAGGCGCTCTATTGTGAATCGCCTGTATTACCGTGAAGCAGAACTAATTCGATTCGTTCCTCTTTTTATGCGTACCAGCTGCGCCGCGCTGAAGCCAACATGTAGTACTGGTTTGTGTCACGTCGCTAATAGTGTGATTCGTCCGTTCGTCGTGTGGACACAGACGTATATAATAAAATCTGGACCTGCAACTCTCCTGATTGGTTGAAGCCACTGGAGGTCGGTTTGAATATATGCGACACGGACATCATCTGCAAGAGTTTTTCCTCAGGCTGCTAATCGCTACCCGTAAACCCTGGGCAGTAATTGAATGCAGTGCACTGAAATTATTGAATGATGTCCACAAAAATATCGAAAATCGTGACAGTCTTCCACAGGTTACCATTGATTAGTTAAGAAACTTTTGCCACTAAGTTAGGTAGGCTTGCGGTTGCACCATGTACAAGAAAATGTCTCTTTTCTGAGTGTGTGGTTTTGAGAAGAACCGATGGTGGACACTCGACGCGCCCTGTTCGTCTTCAGGATGGGGACAGAGCTAACGAACAGAGCATACTGTTTGGAAAGTCGACTGCCCACCATCAGTTCTTCTCAGAACCCCATGCCACACACATAAAAGAGATATTTCTTGTACATGGTGCAACCGCAAGCCTACCTTACTTAGTACTTCCACCATGCATGGCTTCAAGTCTTATCTAAACTTTTGGCACGGTTAATGGCCGCCACTCTACTTCCGGTAGCTTCAGGGTCCA